CTGTAATTTAAAACACGAGTGGAGGAGAAATGTACAATTTTACTTTTTTATTTATCTATTGCTTTAAAAAAACTCACAACATAGCCTATTCATATCCTATATATTTTCTGTTTGAGACTGTATTTTTTATTTCTCTCAATTTAAGAGAAGAGTTTTGCTGAGAAATTTCTTACAAATGATGGCAATGAAGAGCATTTATTACTATAATATTACAAAATATGAAATGTCATGGATGGATATTTACTGAGTAATCCACTATTTTGTAGAGGGGGGTCAAAATGGCAATGGCACTAGATGGCGCTAAAAATCATTCTCACACTGTATATTAATATGCAGTGGACAGTTTATGATGTGTTCATGTTTAGCTCCATCACAAGCAGCTCTTTTAATATGACGTTATTCTAGCTGTTATGAAACACTTCTGATTTTAATTGCTTTCCGTTTCAATAAAATGGTCAATTGACAGCAGAGGCATAGCCATCATTTCAGAAGTGAAGGGACAGAAATGTAATGTTGCGGTATGACAATTTATTATAATGATTATAGTAACCTAAATTATCACAGTTATCAGTATCATCACAGTATTGTTAAAATATGCTGGAAATGTTCAAAAAGTACTGACACAAATTGTTTCAACAAGTTTTGTATTTAAAATCAGCAAAATAAAATGACTTTTTGTTTGCATAAACACTAAAACAATAACATTACCAGTGATGTCCAGATTTTTAATGACAACATGACCGACAACAGTTTATCTAATAGCATGTACAAAATGTTCAAATAAAGCTTTGAAAAAGTTTCATAAAATGGTAAACCTCACATTTCAGCCTTTAAATGAAGAAAGCGGTTAAGAGAAAATGACAGTTGATTCATGAATAATTATATTTATTTTATCTGCAGCATGAATAATTCTAGATACCTTATCTAATTTTTTTTTAATTTGTATAAAATCCACATAAGCTTGTTTTTCATCAACCGGTCAAAATGTACAGCAGGGCATGTAAATTGGGTCCATTTGTTTGTCCAGACAGCAACTGCAAACAGGCTTAATATAAATGTAACTTTCTGTAAATCCACTCTCTGACAGCAGGTGGCGCTTCTGGAACAGCAGAATTACAGCTGTTTCCCATAATCTCTGTGGACAAAGCAGCATTGCAATTACCATTGCAGGAATTACATGGAGTGAAGATAAAAACAAAATGCCATCAAATCTTTTCTGAAGACAGTCAGAACCTTCAATGATACATTCATATAATTAATTCATTCATATAGACTGTTATTTAAAGCTATGATTTATGCTGCACAGTATTTATTTATCTTCAGTTGTCTGACACAGACCTTCAATGTAAATATAGACTTTAAGCCTGACACTCTACTCAGACTTGTTTTGAAGCTGCATCACTGTGGTATTGTGACTTTAGAGTTAAAAGGTCAACTAATGGAAACAGTAATCACCATTATGGTGACTTCAAATTAAACAAAAATTTGATTTAAACCCTGTTAATTCTCAATAAGAACTTCTGTAGACCTCTAACAGAAATAAAGTCAGTCTGGTTAGTAATAAGTGAAGCTGGTGATGCTGTTTGTGGAGTTGTGTAATCCCCCTCTGCTGAGATCTTCAGAGATTTAATGTCTTATCTTCAGTTGATTTCATCTAAAGCTGTGGCTGCAGTCAGCTAAGTTTCTGTTCGGCTCTTATTTTCTGCTCTCTTCTTTTCTTCGGTGATCCTGCTTGTTAATGGGCTTATTAAGGTTTAGATGACTCCATATTAAATATACACAGATTTTGTGGCTCAGATAAGGTCCAGTGTGGTTTATTTCTTTGCTCTTGGCTGACATGTGGCATTGCTATGGCCTGCTTTTGGCCCAGATCTGGCAAACAGGAGCAGTCTGCCCAAGTGCCATCATTCCACACTACATGTGGGCCAGATCATCATTCCACATGTGCCAGATGTGGGCCAGATCTGGGCCAACATTATGTTGCTATCTGGGATAGTTTGGTCTGAAGAGTTTCAGACTGGAAGTCTATATTCTTCATGAATGCCAGTGTTCAATGATCAGTGTTGCCAACTTCTTTCAATGGAAAGTAGCTAAATCCCGCCTGAAAAGTCGCCAAATGTCGCTAGATGACGTCATACGCTAATTAGCATATTCATTGCTATACTTGCATGTAAAATAGAGTTAGAAGCAACAGGATATCTTTTTTTAACTGAAAGTGCTGCTCCTCTCTGCGCTCACTGAACAGAGCAGACGCAGACAGAGAGGTGTGTGCGCTGGGAAAGCAAGACCTCGCGCTCGTGCGGCAGTACCGGAGAGTCTCAGAGACTAAATAAGGTTTGTCCAAGAAAGTCGCTAGATTTGTCGCTAGTTGCTTTTTTGGAAAAAAGTCGCTAAGGGGGTCTGAAAAGTCGCTAAATCTAAATCTGCCAATGATATCACTTCCCTCGTTGGTTTAGCACCATTAAAACAAAAGTAGTCATCATTCTAAGGACCACAGCTCATCTGTGAAGACGTAGCCTACTGGAAGACACAAAAGAACAAAAAAAAATGCAATAGAGGACTTTTGTGATAATGCTACATGCAGAAGTGTTACGAATACAACTGGACTTCAAACACTCCGCAACGATGAAAGAAAAGCTTGCAAACACAGTAAGAAGAAAGTTCTTTGAAGCAGAGATGATGTCAGGATGGTTTCAGGAAATGAGAACTGTTAGATTCAATTACAATGGTTTTTTTGTTGTTGTTGTTGTTGTTGTTTTTTATGTAAGATGTCAATACGTCAATATTTCTGCTTTTATATTAAATGTATTAGCTGTTTTTTTGTTGTTGTTTTTTACTTTTTACGATATGATCTTGTTAGCATATTTTACTGCATTATTACAGATGTTCGTCATTATAAAACAATACTTGATTCTTGAAACCTAATTTTCTGATAATATGGAGTGTATTTAATATTTTTGTGTTTTATTTGTGTCTGACAGGAGAAAGGGCGATATTTGGTGCTGATCACTGTGTGTCTTGGGATCATTTGTCTTCTGATTGCTGCCATCATACTGCAGCACTTTCAGACCACTACTAAGCATAGGAAGAGTTTCACTTTTATGCGGGGGTGGGGGGGGCATCCACTGGCAGATGGGCCACAAGCACTTTTTTATATGTTCTATATTTCATGTATTTATGTAACACATATTCCACATTACAGGTACATTTAGAATGAACAATAACTGCAGTACAAAGAGTAAAAAAAAAAAAAACAGCCAAAAGACAATTTTCACGTCATAGTTCAGACGCGGGCCGGGCCTCAGGCCTGTTTTAGGCTTCTCCTTATTTTTTTATTTTAGACATCCATCAATTAGTGATGAAAAAATTGCCACGCTGGTGGAAACAACACTAGACAGTGCTACCGCGACTTGTCAAGAGCGGCTCGATGGTGTTTAGTATCCTGCAGCAGCATGTATGGAGCGTGCCGTCAGCGCAGCTGAACAGTTCTGCTTTCAAATGCAGGCAATAGGCTTAAGTTTGCCGCAAAAGTAATTACCATAAATGTGTCAGGAGGGAATAATAAGGAGATATTTTAATTATTTACTACTAAACTAGTGTTTTCTGAGTCAGTGTCGCAAGCATGGAGTTGCCGATCCTGACTCGCCATCTCCTCATCAGACACACCTTCAGAGAGAAGCGCATCTTTACGGATTATGATTATAATGAAAGAGTTTTTGTTTTTGATTTGATTTATTTGTTAAGTAGTAATTTAAAGCTTTCTATAGATATATTTATCATGTATGTGAGGCATGTATTCGCTGAGTTTTGGTTCATTTTTGTGAAGTGCACCTGTTCAAGACGAGACTGCAGAAAGCGCATCATGTTTGTTTTCTTTATTTTATGAAAGCACAAAGTTTTGTTGATATTGTGAGTGCACACAAATAAAAGTAGACCATTTACAGTTACGAATGATGTATTACTCTTACCTTTATGAGTAAAAATGACGGTGTATCCACTTGAAAAAATGCAAGTGATCACGCTGGCGCCTCCATGTCCTGCAAAGCGCGCTTCAGCTTCCACTCTCCGCAAACTATTGGATATAGCGCGCATTTATCTAGGTTTAACGTTTAAACATTGTTATATGCTTGAACTGTTTTATATCTATAGATTTTATTTTAGTCAAGTCGTGATGATTTGAGAAGGCTAAATTGATCAAACATAGACTCACTGTCTGCCGCTGGCCGCTTGGTCGTTACTTTAAAAACAAAAACGTACATTTAACGAGCAAAAAATGCTCCAAACGTTTTTCTAAATTAACGTAATAGAAAAACTAAACGAAATATAATCACTTTGCCATTACAAAACCGAACTAATTGAATAACTGAAACAGTAGTATACCACCGTTGTTAATCTAAAGTTTCTAATTATAATAGCACTTTCATTATACAGTACAAAATCCAACAGTGTATTAATTTATGAAAAATTTCAAAAGTACGACAAATCAGACGCATTTTGAACTATGTCATTTAAAAACATTTAAGAGAAACATTAAGAATCAGTGTATGAATCTCAACAATGGTGAGAATCAAAAGCTTCATGCTGCAATGCATGCTGGGTACCTAGTCTCTGTGCAGTGAGTGCACTTTGACCTCACATTAGTATGAGCACACACTGAGGGCGCTATGAGGTTATGAGGTTTTTTATGTATGTATGTATTTTTTAAAAAGTCTGTGTTTCTCTCAGGATATCTGTGGGGTCCAGATGGCTTATTCATGTCCAGTGAGTTGAAGAGCTGGTCTGACAGCAGGCAGTACTGCAGGGATCATGGAGCTGATCTGACCATTGTCAACACTGAAGAGAAGCAGGTGAGTTTGTGTGAGTGTCAGTTAATGAATGAAATGAATCACACCTATTCTTGTTTTTATTCACACAGAGACATATATCTTCATTGGTCAAGGAGAGACCTTGGTTTGTCTGACACAGAGAATGAGGGCAACATGAAATGGGTGGATAATTCACCAATGACTCAAGGGTAAGTGCTAAAACACTCACAGAAACCACTGTGGATTTATTTGTTTTAGTCTTTTTATTTTTATTTTTAAAATAATTCCATCAACGAGAAGATTTGCTGAATACACCGTTCTTACACAAACACAACCAGCACAACCACGAAAGACACTTCTCACAAATACATTCTATAAAAGAATATTCTCCTCCTCTCTTAAATTTTCACTTCTGCTTTCTTAAGTTTACTCTTGAAACTGTTGTGCTGCTGCGAGTGTTGTTGATTATAATAATTATCTTAATTATGTTGTAGTGCCAACAGTTTTACCTTATTGCACTTTGTTATTCTTCATTATTTCCCTACAGTGGCTAATGAACCGGACGTATCACACATTCACGGAAAACAGCATACTTGGATAGAGCTACCGCAAAAAAACGGAAGTTAAAAGTAAAAATTCTAAAGATGGCTGTGAACTTGTTTCTCTGACGCATAAGGTCTATAACAGTGTTTGAGTCCATAAGTCTCAAATTGTTCTTTTTGGCTTTTTTTAGTAAACAACATGTGGTTGAATGTACAATACACAAATATGGGTCTGCAGAGAGTTTTTAAGCACCTCTCTGTTTATTGTGGCCAATCAAATCGAAGAAGGCGGGATTTTACCTAATTCCAGCGTGACACTTCATTTTTAATGGTCAAAGAGGTTTTTTTGCAACCCAGATAGCAACATAATGTTGGCCCAGATCCGGCCCACATCTGGCACATGTGAAATGATGATCTGGCCCACATGTAGCGTGGAATGATGGCACTTGGGCGGACTGCTCCTGTTTGCCAGATCTGGGCCAAAAGCAGGCCATAGCAATGCCACATGTCAGCCAAGAGCAAATAAATAAACCACACTGGACATTATCTGAGTCACAAAATCTGTGCATATTAAATATGGAGTCATCTCAGCCTTAATAAGCCCATTAACAAGCAGAATTACTGAAGAAAAGAAAAGAACAGAAAATAAGAGACGAACAGAAACTCAACAACACCAGCTGACTGCAGCAACAGTTCAAGATGAAATCAACTGAAGATAAAAGATATTAAATCTCAGAAGATCTCAGCAGAGGAGGATTACACAACTCCACAAACAGCCTTACCAGCTTCACTTATTACTAACAAGATTGACTTTATTTCTGTTAGAGGTCTACAGAAGTTCTTATTGAGAATTAACAGGGGTTTAAATTTTTTTTTTTTTTATTTGAAGTCACCATAATGGTGATTACTGTTTACCTTAGTTGGGCTCTTAGCTCTAAAGTCATGATGCTAGTGATGCAGCTTCAAAACAAGTCCAAGTGTCAGACTTAAAGTCTATATTTATATTGAAGATCTGTGTCAAATGAAATCACTTCCTTCTGTGTAAATTTAGGGCTAATCTAGTGAATTAAAGTAATCATCATTCGGAAGACCACAGCTCATCTGTAAAGACATACTGCAAGACACAAGAACCAAAAATGGAATTGGAGTACTCTTATGAAAATGCTGAACACAGAAATTTTTGGGAGACAACTGGACCTCAAACACACTGCCAAGATGAATGTCGGTCGTTTTCTAAGAACAACGTTATTATTTGCTTTCGCAGCCTATTTTCTTGTGTGCGTATTTTACTGTACGGTAATTATTATTTTTTTAAAGATTTATTTATAGGCTTTTTATGCCTTTATTTGGAAAGTACAGTGTAGAGTAGACAGGAAAGCATTGGGTGAAGAGAGAGGGGAGCGGGATCAGCAAAGGACCATGAGCCGGGATTCAAACTTGGGTCGCCATGAGCGCAGTTGCGCTATATGTTGGCGCACTAACCGCGAGGCTATTGGCACCAACACTGTACAGCAGTTATTAATCAATATTTTGTGTCTATTCTTCCTGTCTGACAGGAGGAAGGCGATTTTTGGTGCTGATCACTGTGTGCTACCACTGTGTGCTACTTCTGATTGCTACCATCATACTGCAGCACTTTCAGACCGCTTCTAAGCGAGGTTAGTACAAATAATTTTTTGTGGAAATATTAAAAATTTCCCTTTTTAAAAATCTTTTATATATACAATTTCAAAGCTAGGGTAGGCAACGTTTGTCATAAACATTGTTTGTTATACTGGTTGAGAGTCTCTTCACAGCCTGATAGCAGTCAATAATGAAAGTGGTTCATATGTACAGTGAGTGAGTGAGTGTGTGTGTGTGTGTGTGTGTGTGTGTACTGTATATACACACACTGCAGACCATTCAGAGTGCGCATGACGAATGATGACTCCTGTTCACATTTGGGGAAGGTGTGATGCACGAAAGGGGTGTTTGCAAAGGTTGTTTGAAAAATGCTTTATTTTTGTATTTCCACTATGTGACACTAGTAGTGCAGAAACTGCCTACTCCAGCTTTAAAAGTTTGTGTTTCTCTCAGGATATCTGTGGGTCCAGATGGCTTATTCATGTCCAGTGAGTTGAAGAGCTGGTCTGACAGCAGGCAGTACTGCAGGGATCATGGAGCTGATCTGATCATTATCAACACTGAAGAGAAGCAGGTGAGTTTTTGTGTCTATAACTGAATGAAAGGAATCACACTCATTCCTGTTTGTATTTACACACAGAGACATATATCTTCATTCATCAAGGAGAATGTGTGGATTGGTTTGTCTGACAGAAAGCAGGAGGGCATCATGAAATGGGTGGATAAGTCACCACTAAATAGAGGGTAAGTACTAAAACACTCACAGAAAACCACTGTGAATTTATTTATTTTAGTTTTTTATTCTTATTAGAAAAATAAGACCATCAACGAGAAGATTTGTTGAATTCATAGCTCTTACACAAACACAACCAGTATGGCCATGAAAGGCAATTCTCACAAATACATTCTATTTAAAGAATATTCTCCTCCTCTCTTACATTTTCACTTCTGCTTCTGCAGTATTTTCATTTACTTTTGAAACTATTGTGCTGCTGCGAGTGTTGTTGATTACTGATTTGGTTGTGACAATCCTCATTCAGTTACTAAATAGATGAAAGCTTTGAGCAAACTTTAGGGGTTCTGAATCATTAAAAATCTGGCACATTTTTATTCAGGTTTTGGGCCAGAGGTGAGCCGAATAACTATCAAGGTAGAAATGAGGACTGTATTGAACTGATGCCTTCAGATCTCATCCTGAACAACTGGAATGATCGCTCGTGCTCTGAGAAGAAAAACGGGATTTGCGAGAAATAGGATTCATCCTTGTCTTGCTTTTACATGCTTTTAAAAGTGCTTTCATGTAAAAGGGTAATGCTGCTCACTTAACCTCTGATGTGTAAATGTCTTGCTCCATTATAGCAGCTCTATGTTAGTATGACCGTATTCTGCTGTTATCATGTTTCTCATTTGTCAGTCTGAAGTGTAGAGGTGACAATCACAGTAAACTACAGAAGTCTAATGTGCCCCAGACTGCAACAATTCACACTTTTACTCTTAATATTGAGTGTCTGTGAAACTGCTTCGGATTTTAATTGCTTTCTGTTTTAATAAAATGGTCAATTGACAGTATAATCACAGCATTTTTGGTTTAATTTATTGTGTATCTGCTTTGTTGCTTTATGGAGAGATTTCCTCCAGTCCAGCAGGATGGGTATTAATTGATATTTGTGTGTTTTTGGTCCTGGAAGAAGTAGGAAGTAGATGTTCCATATTGAACAGGAACTACTGTTGTGTCAGCTTTATTGACGCTATGGGGAAACTCCTGTTTATACTGAAGTCTGATTTGTTAACGTTTGTGTAGCTGCACAAACCAATGGCACTTGAGCCCTACAGAATGGGCGGAGCTGACTGCTATATAAGTCGGCCCGGAACTTCATTTCGTCAGAATCATTTGACTGTAGAGACAGGCAACAATTCACATGCAGCTTATAGCACGACACTGCACGTCATGCAAGGTTCGTTCCCTTATTTCAGGGAACCAAGATTACGTTAGTAACCAGAGTGTTCCCTATTGAACAGGAAATCCCATTGTGTCAGCTTTATTGACGCTATGGGGAACGCATCCAGCAGTGCCGTGCGATGAGCAGAAGCAGAACTAAGCCTGCTCTACAAGCCCAAATCAGGACATTCACTAGAGGGCCCCATAAGCCTAAGCCACAGAAGAGACCCGAGTAATAACCTGAGGTATACTTAAGATGGCCCTTCCACCCAAAGGGGGAATTGGTAGTTCAAGCAGGAAAGATCCGCATCTGCAGGGCAGGGACACCCAAATTGTAAAATCTAACGAAGGTAGATGGCAACAACCAGCCGGCGGCCACACAATTCTCCCCGATAGAGATCCCACTGGACCACGTCCAGGAAGAGGGCATTCCTCTGGTAGAATGGGCCTTCACACCTATAGGGCATTGCAAGCAAACCGCAGCATAAGCCAGGGCTATATCATCTACTTTCCAGTGAGATAGTCTCTGCTTTGTGACTGGCAGCCCTTTTATTGTTTATTTTATTTTACGGATCCCTCACATCCAAGCCATCTCCTTTTTGAACTTTTGCCATCTGGTCGGCGCTACAGAGCACCAAACACCAGGACAGCCAGGCACAAGAACAGTTTCTTTCCCCGGTCAGTCTACCTCAAGAACAGTTCAATATTGTCCTATTGTGCAATAAAAGTATGTGCAATAACCTTACACTTATTTATCACCCTGCATCCTACTACATCCCTACAACTTTTTTTATTCTATTCCTATTCTATTTTATCTATAGCACAACTGTACATACAATTTATTCTTACAGATGTGTGTGTGTAATTTTATTATCTGTGTGTTGTTGTTGTCTCTGTGTACTGGAAGCTTGTGACACTAAAACAAATTCCCTGTAAAAGGGATGTTAAAGCTCTTTCTGACTTCTGACTTACAGTGCACTGAACACAGCTAATCAGTTTTTGTAATAAAATTACATAATGCTATCCTAAATAGGCCGTAGCCTAATGTTACACAGCAAAATCCCCGGTGTCAAATTAACACTGCTGGGTGTCTATATGTGTCCAGACTACAGAGTGTTAAAAGTAACACTGAAGTGGTGTTGAAGTGAATGAGATAATTACCGTATTGACCCGAATATAAGACGATGTTTTTTTCTTGGAAATACATCTGAAAAAACGCGGTCGTCTTATATTCAGGGTCTAGACTTTGACATGTCAATAATACACCCACAACAATAGGTGCGCCAAATACGCATAAAACGAGTGTGCCATGAAATACGTAATGTAATGCGTGTTGTAAAGATCGCGAGTAAAAACAAAAGAGAAAGAAAACCTTACAGCTGCATGAGTCGTGACTGTCACGTTAGCCTGATGGGACCAAACTCCCTTTGTGATTTTAAAACGTAAGACAGTACCCAGATTTGAAGACTACAGGAAGATTTAACTTCTACTGTTAATAAGATTTTGGTAGGCTACTATTAGATGGATAGCCTAAATGTCCAACATTCAGCCCTGTTACCCTCATCAAAAAAAAAAAAAAACTTGTAAAATAATGTACATTCAAGTGACATCACTACTAGGAGATTACATCATCTCTCAACCAGGATTCCAACACTTAAAACATTAGCATGTTTCTCTCCCTCCTCTATAATGTTCTCTTTTTGATGATTTATGAGGCTTGACTGAGGGGGGACATCATGCAATGTCAATCCTGTTACCATTTTTAAAATGTAAATGTAAACTATTATTTCTTACATTTAATATAATCAAAGTAAAATCCTTTCAAAGTGTACAATATGTGCTTTTGTGAACTTGACTATTCAAAACCAAACTACTCAAACCTGTTACTGTCAACCTGTTACTTTTCAGGGTAACAGGTTTTGACATGTGGATAACAGGGATGACATAGATTAGGTGTCACTCTGTTTTTAAAGATTGTCTGTGTAAAATGCAAACATGTTTAAAGTTCACCCTTGCAGTTTTATTGAGCTACTGCCTATATCATTCAGTGGCAAATGAGCATGAGTTGCATTTTAGTTAGTATTATTGGTATTGCTACTTTTACTATTTTTGTTAATGACCAGATAGGATGATCAGTCTCAATAAAACTCTTTTTGTCCATAACTCATTGTCAATAATGCATCCATGTAAATTCAACTACAAACAAGAGCAGCAAGGTGACTGCAGACCTTCACCCCAGTCTTGCAATGTTCAAGAATGTCAAGATCTTGGTCTGGTTTCAGATGATCACAGAAAGACCAAGATCTGATCATCTTCTTTGCCTAATAACTGAAACAGATCAATATATTTTAAGTTCTGTGAGGGGACACAGACAAACAGATAGACACATTATCTAATTACAGCACCCTTAAAATATTAGATCTCCTAGAAATGTAATGTGCTAAATCAACAATGAACTGACTTAAACTGAAAAATTGACTGTTTACTATTGTCATACAACTATGCCAAGTAAGTGCAAAACAATATAATGCCATTTAAAATTGTAAAACTGTACAGCATTATGTAAACAAATATGTGCAGTGTGCTGAAGAATGTGTGTCCTCTCATCCCTGTTACTTTGGTCAGTCCTGTGACTATGACGCCAATCCTCTCTTGTAACATGTGATCACCCTCCAAAATTAGGATGTTCTTGGTCATCTGAATGACAAATATAAAAATATTTGTAAAAAATAAAAAAATTGAAACCAGTGAAAGAGGGACTAAAACTATCACATAGTTCTAATTAAACTATAGTGTCTAGTAACGCTTGTGTCGGTAACAGGGTTGACAAAAATACCAAAAAATGAGGTAGAAAAATAGTCATAAAATAATAAAGTACATAGCCTGAGATGGAACAATACAAGTTCTTGTCATTATAAGGTGTCTTCATTTCAAGGATATTTAAAAAATGTTGATTAAACTTATTTTGTTTTAATTTTACCAAGTGAAAAAGGCACAGATTTCGTGGAATGACCCATATATAGTCTATATAGTCGTTGTGATTTGACAAAAAAAATCAAGATTTGCATCACTGAATAAAACTGACCGTCATTTAACATTTTTATAGTGAAACAGCTGTCAAATATTAAATGTTTAGCAACTGGTATCTTACCTCGCAGTCTTTGACCATTAAAAATGAAGTGTCACGCTAGAATTAGGTTAAAGTAAAATTGCGCCTTCTTTGATTTGATTGGCCACCTCAAATATTTTGACATTGATGAGCACTGTTAGACCACTGAGGCAGACCAGTCTAACAATATAACGTTTTGTCATCCTAATGACAAACAGAGAGGTGCGTAAAAAGTACAGCAGAGCAGCAATAAGAATATCAAATATTGGGGGGGACAGTTTGGCCATAATTATCGGGGGTGACTAGTCCCTCAATGGCCCTCCTGTGATCAACACCAAACATCTTCCTCCTTCCGAAAACACACAAATATCAATTAATACATGCCATATTATTAGAAATAATGTTTTAAATTGGCCTTTGTAAGTAATCCATGTTTGTCTTTAGACAATAAACAGGCCTTTCAGAGAGTATGTTGTTTATAATGAAAAACATATGAACTGTCAATTGCCAACATTGTAAGCATCCAACCTCCGGCCGAAAAGTGAAGTCCAGCGGCCTGGTTAAAGGTCTAATGCGTGTTCGGTCTTTTACTTGCGCTTCTGCAAAGTTCACTTTATTTATCAGAATTTAGTTTCAATTTTAGTCTAGCTCCGTGTTCAATCTGACTCCAATTTCAAGTGATCATTAAATTTAGTCGACAAATGTCAATTATGTATTAATTTAGATATTTGATTATTCTGGAAATCACATACTTTCAATTATTCATTCATCAAGGACCTGGTATCACTTAGAGACTCACTTGGTCAACAGTGAAATCACGGACACAAACTCGCCAGTTCTGTACTTACTCAGAGGATACAGGGTGATTAAATACCTTTAAGTAGGCTGCACCCTGCTAGCACATAACAAAAAGTGTAATTTTTCATAATCACAAAAACTGTAACTTGTTAAACCAGTGACAGTCAGAAATCAGAAGATCCCTAATGACGAGCCCCCTGCTTCACACATTGGTACTTCAATATGATCTGTCCTGGACGCAGATTTGCGGAAAGACCAGACTACGCTATAATCTACTAAAATAATGATTTCAGAAGAGATCAGAATAAGTGAAATATAAGAATTTATTATTAGTCAGGTAAAATCACTCCAATTACATAATGAAACAATTAGAAGCCAATTCAGAGTTCAATTCAGTTCCAATTCAGATAAATTCATAACATTGATTGCTCAAAGATTGAATCTAAGAGATGCATACCTGACAGTAGAGAAACACACAACAGTATGTGAATTCTAGTGCAAAGCTCCAGAGATTCACATATGCTGTGTGGGGTCAAATGACATAATGGCTTATATACCCAGACCAGAAACAAAGAAATCTTCAAATCAGTTGTAAAAACATAAAAGACCTTTTGGTTTTTTAGGTTCTCAAGACCCAGGATCACACCTGGCTGGAGATAGATAAACATTCTCACAGACCCTGAGGGGGACACAGCCCTCAGCAGTCAAGTCAAGTCAGTCAAGTCA